ATGTAACGTGGCAAACTTACATATGCCAGTTAAAATAAGTCAGTGTTGACTTTTAGTTTATAGCGGACACAAACTTGGTCTCCTGGGTGAAAGTCCTGTGTTTGTTTGACCCATCAACCCACCCCAACCTCCATCCTATGTGGACTTTGTTCACCTGAATTCCTCCTTTGCCCCCTGTGATATTTACTATGGCCAATAGAGACTGCTGCCTAAAGCTAAAAGTAAATGTAGGAGGTAGAGTAGGGACATACTACCTCAAATCTGTGCTCCCAAAGACAACTAATAATGGCCAGTTAAAGGCCTGATAACATTCAAAGCAAGTACTAGTACAGTTATTCAATTTCTTGCAGAGAATTAGGTAAGATAGGTACTCTAATATTTGTACAGTAAATACAAAGCTAACATCGGCAGCCTGTTAGCTTAGCTCCACACAAAGATTGGGAATAAGAGGAGTCAGCTAACCAGGCTTTGTCCACAAGTAACAAAATCCATCTAGTTCACAGTTTTGTGCTAATAGACTGGTTTTTGTCACCTTCGAGCAGAGAGGGAATAACTGTTTCCCTTTTTTTCCAGTCTTTATGCTAAGCTAAGCTAACTAGCTTCTGGTGATAACTTCATATTTACCAAACAGACAATCTAATACCAGATGTGAACAACGTTTCAAGCGATTTCACTGTGCAGAACGCAGCAAACTGAGTAGACCGTAAATATGGAGCGGACTTTTAAACTGCTCACCTTGAATTCCCTCAATCTCTTTCCACTGAAACAGCATAGGTAACCAAAGGAGGCTAGTGGCGAGTTGAGGCGACAAAATTCGAAATGTGAACTTTGTACACAAATGCGGTTTATCTTTTAAAACTATATCAATGCTGAATTGATGAGAATACTGTTGACATATGACACCTTTTATTTTGTGTTTCTAGAGTTATGTGTTTTTGCGGACATATAAGGAAATGCCATATTTCCTAAAGGAAGACTGGCGTAATGTTTCTGACCAGAAGCAGAATGTCAAATAATCTTAAATGGAATCTAGTTGTACTAAAATACCCAGCCAACATTTGTATGTGGGGCCCATGTGGATAGTAAATGGGCCCATTACAGTTGCTACCCAGGTAGCCCTAGCATAACCGATACATACCCACTTGGGTAAACCCACCCATGTCGGCAATTGGCATGGGGTCAATATGAAACCTGTGGACAATCCCATATGGGGACGATTTTTCAGCCCATTTTTACCCACATGGGCCCTACATACAAATGTTGGCTGGGTAGTGACTCTGCAAGATCCCAAATTTTTGTCAAATCTTATAGTCTGTGACTAAAACTCGCATTGTCTTTAGATGTGTCATACGTCAGTCTTTCAAAAGCCTTTCCAAAGTATTTTAAAGTTCTGTATGGTAGGCATCACACTCAGCAAGAAACCCAATAAACCCAAAATGTTGACCTGCTCTTTAGAAGTTACCTATTTTACAAACATCTATCAACAAAGCTGCTTCTCACACAAAGGAACTGTATTTCAAAAGAAGAAAAATTAAATGCATTCAGAATTAAGAGGGTAGTGGGTTTGTGGTAATGAAAGAGGTGACAGGGGTCACTGAAAAAGTAGAATGAATCAGATAAAAGAATGATGAGAATGGAGGAGTTCTGCCTATAAAGAGATGAGAGGAGAGAGTGCACATTAAGCAGAGGAGAGAAGGACGGAGTGACTGAGGTGGAAGTTGGGGCCTGCTGGCTAATTAGTGCCCCCGCATGGTTTCTCAGTTGTCGTGCTTTAATTACAGACTTGTGGAGCATGGTGGGAATGGCAAAGTGACCCCCCACCCCCCACCCCCAACTAAACAAAACCCTCCTCTCAAACGCACACTTCCACTGTCCCCCCCAATGCCTCGCCATTCATGCCAACCCACTACGAGCTGGGATGTTTACTGTAAATATGTACCTGCTAATTGGATTATTTCTCATCCTCAGAGTTGGTTTTATTTACTCCGGTCACACATAAGCAACAGCCTCTGATGCATCGCCAATTCTGATGCAAATTAGGCGCACTCAGTGCCACCCCGGCCTCGCAAAAATCCATGTGGGAAAACAAACACTGCAGAAAAAAACAAGTGAAACAGCTGTTGAGAATTGCATAAATGAGGGTAGTGCTGACCTCACTGTAAAGCCGCCTCATTGGATACACTCCTCCCTGCTCCTTATGTCATGCAGGCCTGCTGCAAGAAGTGGTGACGCCTGTTGAGCAGGGCGACACTACAACACATTTATTACAGTGCTCTGAGAAGAAAAGAAGTGCTGAACAGCTGCTATGTGTGTTACAGCAATGTGTTGTCGCTGAGAGAAAGACATGTTGTCACTGCAATCTGTTTAGACTGTTTTTACCCAGTAGCTGTGATACACACAGAGTTGTCCTCGTCAATAACCCAGTGTGTTTCTCATTATGACCGGAGGTGTGCATATGTGTGTGTGTGTGTGTGTAGGGGGGGGTTGTCTTCCTTCCTTGTCTTCTCCTCTATACTTATGAGTCTCCATGACAACAGAGCCACCGTCCAGCAGCTTGTAGTTTTAAGCAGAGGCACAGAGGTGAGACTATTAGCACCGAGGAGAGGGATACGATAGGCTGGCCTTTGTTTGTGCAAATGATGTAGGCTATTGAGAAAGAAGTCTCATTGCACAGAGCCCCAACCTCATCAACATCAGTTCAGTCTCTACCCGCCATTAATCCACTTTCATTATTTACTTCAAAGCACTGATGGGAAATTATGCTTGACATAATCGTTGCCTGGCATTTGAAATTTATTTTTTCACTTCTCTGGGGTCATGGAGGATATATACTGCACACTGAGTCTGTCCACATCACAGACAGGCACCCAGCCAAGCATGACGCTCAGTAAATTTGAAGTGTCATAACACACCGGGATGTGCTTCACATGTGTCTGAAGCGTCCGTCTTCACCACAGGACAAGGCCCAGAGATGGTTTAATCATTGATGACAGCTGAAGCTCTCGCTATATGTGGGCTCTGATGACATTAAGTCTGGAAAATTGGAACGAGGACAAGCCGTTCCACAGGAATATTGAGAAGCACCTGATCTGACACTCAAACACTCTATTTTACAAAGGCAAAAAAAAGAGCTAGACGATACGGGAAAAATCAAATATCGCGATATTTTTCACAATACCTCGATATCAATATTGTGACAGTATCGTTTGGCTATTATTGCTCTCACAAACTATTTAAACAATGAGATTTTTGATAAATAATCATCAGTAAGATGGATATAATGACTAAGTGGGTAAAGACAAATAATAGAACAGCCTAGTAAGATAAGACAATTACATCACTTTACTGTATGAAGCATTTAAAACTAGAAGATGACACTTACGCCGTTATGATATCCAAAAGATGATATCTACCCTCATTTGCCAATATCAATTTAATATCTATATAATCTAGTGTCCAAGTAAAATATTATTTTCTTTCCCTAGGACAAGGTGTTTAATATTCAGCTCCAATATAGGCTATTTAAAATACCTCCTAATGACTCACTTAAGGTCTTGGAGTTATTAAAAACTCACACTGTGTCCACACAAAAGATCACATAGTCAAAAGAACATGCATAAAATAAAAAGTGTCTGCTCCCTTTGGTTGTGAGAAGGTGTTGTAGCTGCAATACGTCTCCAGAAATCACAAATTCATAAACTGTGTGTCACGTTTCACAGCAGCTCCGCTATACCTGCAGCTGTAACACAATGTGCTGTGTTTGGGGTGGACGCCCCCTCCTGTGTATATATCCCTCTGTATCTCTGAAGTGCCTGCCTGTATATGTGGCTGAAGTCCGTCTTAATTCTGCTGTTCCCTTATGATAAAATGTTATAGTTTGAAATAAGAGACCCTGATTGGCATGAACACTCCATATTTTTACAAGGTAAATAAATAAATAATATAATAATATATATATATATATATATATATATATAATTGCCAGTAATGCATTTGATAGCTCGTTTTGTCGGTTACTTTTTAAGACAAATCTTAAGATATTTATTTTTCCTCTGTCCTTTTTGTCTAAATCTGTTCCTATCAGTCTCTGCGTCATGGCATGAACAAATCCAGTCACATCGACTCACTCATTGATAGCTGAGGCGAGAAGTCAAAGGGGTGGCCGGAAGCAAGATTGGTCAATGAATGAGCGTCTGTCTGCCTCTGAAGTAAGACGTCACTGTTAGCGCACTTCCTTTTCAAACACCAAATGCGTAAAATGTTCCAAAAACACTTTTCTCATCGCTAAAAATACAAAATAAGAAATGTTTGCCTCAAGTTCTATAACCAAACTATTTTTTCCTGTTTTGCTTGGACATGACGTGAACTCCGTGTCATCTATTTTTAAATCACCGGGCATGTTTCCATAGCAATTTCAGGGGATGTTGCCAAGCAACAGCATCAGATACAATGAAGACATGAATGAAAGTAGACTAACCGCGCGCACATTTCCTGGCACATTTCCTTAAAAAGTGAATGGGCTCAGACGCGCCGGCTTGGCAACGCGTTCTGCTGCAGACTGTAAGACAGCCGTGTTTATTGTGTGGGCCTATGCTTCAACACCGCGATGTAACAGTTGGCAGACAGCTTGGGTTGAGCGTTTAGCGGGACACCGGCCGCTTGGTTCTTGGTAATCTGCTATTTCAGCGGTGATAAAATTCGTAGGTATGCGTGTCGACGCTTTGTCCATCCGACTTATAACCTCTAAAAGTTTTCCCACCTTAAAAACAATTTTTCTGGTTTGTACCTATCTTCTGATTGTCACATTTGGCGTGCGTAAAAGGAGCGCGTCCCTTTGCGCGCACTGAGAAATAAGAGTCCTCCTCGGAAAAAAGAGAATTCAAACTATTTGTTGTATGAAAACAACAGTATGGTCTATGTTACAATACCACACAGAGCCCTGCTCATGTTCACGGCACACACAGACACCCAAAGTGAGAGCAGACTTGGAGCAGGCTTACCTTCAATACAGCAGATTCTCCACAGCCCGGAGTGAGTGAGATCTCCCTTCTTGGTTTTGGGCTGCGGCTGGGTCTCGTCTGTGGTGGTATTGGTGCTGTTGCAGATGTACGCGCGCGAATAGAGCCAGTAGTCCGTGCCGATGGCGATGGTCATCAGGCTGAAGGCAGCGAAAGCCCCCACGGTGGCCAGCAGCGTTTGAACCCCGCGGTCACACCAACCCATGGCGCTTCATACTAGTCCACACTCTCACCGGTCCAACATGCGCTCACCGGAGCGCGTCAGGGCGCGGATGCTTCGCTCATACTTGTTTAGGTGCGTCCACTCTCTCCGCTCCAAGTGTAGCCCAGAGAAAAAGAGGAAGAAGTGGGATTATTGTCTGAAACGGTCACCTGATGCTCAAACCTAACTGGTCGCAGCTGTGGATATAAGAGGACACCAGTTGTGCCCACTCCAGGAGCTCCACACAGGTTTGAAGCGCGCAGGACAGCACGAACGAAACATCGTGTACCAATTCAGACCACTTCAAACCTCCTCACCACTTCACTCTTCTGTTTTCCCCCTTTATCTTTGCCTAAAAACACTTTTCTCTGTTCCTACACAGACTGCGCCTCTGTTAAAACCAATTGCCAAAGCGGACTACGTCAATGGCTCTTAAGTGAGACCCCACCCTCACCAAATCTAACCAATGGAGGTGCTGTTGAATAAGGAAGGGAAAAAACTCTCAGTGGCATTACAATTTACAATCAGATGCATTTAAAACGTGTGGGATCTTTGGGGAAATATTAATTAGCCAAACAATCTGTCTCTCAGCTGAGACATTTGGACACTCCGCTGAATTCACAAGCTATGAATATTACCAAACTCTCAGTCAGCTGTCACAAGGATGAGGGTGGGGGTGGGGGAGAGGAATAATGAGAGGTTTTGACACAACGGTCCTGCTCTGTGGTGCACTAACGCCAAACAACCAATCCCCCACGGAACAGAGCATTAAAAAAAGCAATTAGGTGCTTGGTGAGTGCGTGTTAACCAAGCACACTGTAAATCACTCAGGTCCATCGGATTCCCTAAGACTGTCACAGAAGAGTGCACTGAGAGTGGACAGATAGATAGATAGATAGAAAGATAGATAGATAGATAGATAGATAGATCACATCACATGCTTAGTGAGGAATCCATAAAACATGTAAATAAATTCCTCATCCCTCAGACACACTCACACAAACGCTTCCCTGACTTTGATCACGCAGCTGACAAATTGGTTTATTAAACATGCAAAATAAAAACGCCATTCATGCTCATGTGAACACCAGATTAAAGACATGCTTAATGCCTCTCTGAGCCAGATGGAAGCTTTTCAAACTAGCCGGGAAACACGATGGCTTCCACTGGCAAGCTGCCTCTGGCTTGATAGAAAACAATCTCTTGATGGCACTGCCAGCCTGGTTTCTGTAGAAATCTGGCAAATTCCACCCTGCAGTTCATCATATAATAAAGACTGGCTGTTTATTGTTTGTCAAATTAGTGTGAAAGTGTCACATTTATATAAAGAGCAGCTTCCAACAAACCAAACCACCTGAGGATATGAGTTACCCTAATGATATACTAATACAATAACTAATACATGCTGCAACTGCCAGAACAAATGTTGGTATTGTACCTTGGATACGATACATTTGTACATTATCATGTGGTAGAGATGTTGAAACTTAACATTTCAACACGCTGCAGTTAACATGTTAGGTTTAGGCACAAAAAACACTTAGTTGTGGTTAGAAAAACTTCATCTTTTGGCTTAAAATACCTGGTATGAGTGGCTAAAAAGCCGCTGGAAACCATTTTCTGTGGCACTGTCCCGGCTGGAAATGCAGTGATGTCTTGGAATAAAACAAACTTTGTGGCGCTATACTCGCTGGAAATGCAGCGGTCTTGGCAAAGAAACAACTGCATTTTGTGACAATATCCCTGCAGAAACACAGCAATGTCTCATAAAAAACAACGCAGTGATGTCTCGGTATAAAACAGACACTCTTTCTGTCACTGTTCCCGCTGGAAATGCAGCAGTCTTTGTGGCACTATCCTGGCTGTAAATACAGTGATGACTTAATTAAAAAACAAACGCTCTTTGTGGCACTATCCTGGCTGTAATACAACCGTGTTTGTTGGCTAAGAAGCCACTGGAAGATGCACCAATGACTCACTAAAACACAACCAGTTTGATTTTGAACAGTAGTCTGCCATGCCATCCACCGTCCCTCCCGCCTCTTGAAGATAGTCAGCTCATATACTATGTCAATTAAGAGTCGTTGATATGATGCATATGAAACAAACACATCTAATGTAGTGGTTTGTTAAATTATACAGTGCCAACATTTTCATTTGCCAACTGGGCTGAGCAAAGTAGTCTGAGAGAGATATGAGGTTAGGACAATGTCTGGTTGTGTGTGGAGCTGTTTCTACTTCTAGGCTTCTATTTCTCAGTGGATCTGTCTCTCTTGCTTTAATTCCTGCGGGTAAGTTGGTGCCTTTTTAGAGTCCAAGTCCTCACATGCTGCCAGATGAATGAAAGAACACCATCAGGGTGTCAGTTGTAATCTTTAAAGATCCCCTACAGACATACAATAAATATGACAATGCTCTACATGTAATAATATTTTGTGTTTGATATGGTCAGTGGTGGAGGAGGTATTCAGAGCCCCTACTTAAAGGTCCAGTGTGTAGGATGTAGGAGCATCTGGTGGTATTCAATATCCATAACTATGTTTTCATTAGTGTATAATCACCTGAAAATACGAATCATTGTGTTTTCATTACCTTAGAATGAGTCGTGTACACCAACATATGGAGCTGGTCCTCTTCCACAGAGTCCGCCATGTTGTTTCTACAGTAGCCCAGAATGGACAAATCAAACACTGGCTCTAGACAGGGCCATGCGTGTTTTTGCATCAGCCACCGTAGTTCTCCTATGGGCAGTAAAAGTCCTGCATTAAAATGATAATTTAGTAAAAGTATGTAAGTATAATCAAGAAAATGTACTTAAAGTATTAAAAGCTAAAAAAGAAAGGCCCTGTGACTGCTATAATATTATAAATTAGATTACTGATACTCATGCATTCATGCAAAAACAGGGTTGAACTATCATTTTGAACAATTAATTCATGATTATTTACATTATGGATTAATCTGCTGATTATTTTGTACATTTGTCTGCTGTTTGGTTTGTAAAAATACTGAAATCAGTGAAAAATGCTGTCAAAGTGACCCAGCGTCTAACATGACACCTTCACAATGTTTGTTTTGTCCAATCCAAACCTCAACATTGCTACTAGCAGCAAATCTTCACACTTATGAAGCTGGAACATGAAAAATTACTTCAACCATCAAATCGTTTCCAATTAATTTTCTGTCATTCAGCTAACTGATTAATGGGTGAATCATTTCAGCTGTACTTGGAGACAGTCGTTGGGTCGTTTACTTTATAACAAAACAACATTTTCTAAACTCTTCAAATGTTTTGTGTGTAAAAATCTTAATTTGTGAAGAAACTAAAGCTGTCAGATAAATGTAATGGAGTAAAAAGTAATACTGCCTTTTGAGAGTGGAAGTGGTACAAAAATAAAAGACTTAAGAAAAGTACAAGTGCCTCAAATTTGTACTTAGATACAGCACTTGATTAAATGTACTTAGTTACATTCAACCACTACAGTTTTTCCACAACATAGTTATCTTGTTAATGATTCTCCAAGTACATTAACTCCTTCTCCCTCCTTGAAAATATAGAATCTATTTGCAATCATTACCCATTTCAAAGGTTTAACTACGAGGCCCAAGATGTCTGCTGCTTCACTGTGAAGTCCATTGTCAGTTAATGTGCAGTGGAGGCTTCAGTTTTCCACTTCAACAATAAGTGACGTAGCCTTTTGGACCACAACTCACTTCCACACCAGTTCTAATGCCAGCTGTGAATCTCAAGCGACCGAGTGAAGTAGCAATTAGAGGAACAGATTTTTGGAAGAGGACTAAATGCTATGAAAATATTTCAACAGTTTGAGAAGGTGTTCTGTCAGGTGCTATGTTTTCATTCGCTGAAAAAAAAAGCGTATAAGCGTATAAAACTCTGTGACATATAATGATAAGTAACGGTAACTTGAGACTTCTGTCTGTGTTTCTTTCTTATTATCTTGTTCTCTTTGTATAAGCGCAGCTATTTTCTGTCATTGCTGCTCAGCTGGTCGTTTCATCAGAATCAGCTTTATTAGTCCATGTGTACACATGCAAGGAATTTCACCTTGTTTTTTGTCATTGCTTTCAATGTACTTAGAAAGAAATAGACATAACAACTAAGAACATGGATGACAAAGCTAAAAATATAAAGGTAATGAATAGACAGGACTTTTATGAACACAAATATGTAAAAATAAGTGTATGTACTCATGAGTGGATTACTGAACGGGCCTACTGGCACAGGCCCAGGGGCCAAAAGTGTCAGGTGGCCCCCTCGCCTTCAACTACAAAATGTCACTTGAAGAGACAACATGGGAGAGACTCAAAACTAACACAAAAAGGCACAAACAACTACAAAGAGATGCAAAAACAGCTGCAAAAAGACTAAAAGAGACCCACAAAGACAATGAAAATTAGAAAGACAACTGTGACGAGACACAAAATGAATTCAAAGTGACCATAAAGAAGCACAAACAACTACAAAGAGGTGCAAAAAAGACCCACAAAGACTATTAAAATTAGAAAAACAACCGTAAAGAGACTCAAAACCATAAAGAGGCAGAAACAATCACAAAGAGGTGCAAAACAGATGCAAAGAGACAGAAAGAGACTCACAAAGACTGTTAGAATTAGAAAAACAACCGTGAACAGACACAAAATGACTACAAAGAGACACAAAATGACAACACAGAGCTGCAAAACAGCAGCAGAGAGACACAGAGACTCACAAAGACTGCCAAAATTAGAACATAATCGTGAAGAGACTCAAGATGACTGCAAAGAGATGCAAAACAGCTGCAAAGAGACTAAAAATATGAACAGAATGACTACAAAGAGACTCAAAATTACTACAAAGAGGCACAAACGACTACAAAGACGTGCAAAACAGCTGGAAGGAGACACAAAGACACTCACAAAGACTATAAAAAGGGGAATACCAACCTTGAACAGACACAAAATGACTACAGACAGATGCAAAACAGCTAAAAGAGACTAAAAATTACTACAAAGAGTAAATAATACAAATATTGCAAATAAAAATAACGATTATGGTCAGTATGTGTATGTATACATGTCTATATTTACAGGGTTATAGAGGATTTATATTGATAGTGACAGTCAATGATGATGATATCTAGCTGAAAACCTATATATTCCTAATAAATTAAAACCTGTATCAATTAAAACGCTGTGATATTGTTACTTCCGCAGCCCTGAAGGTGGCGCCAAGTCGCAGCATCACTGGAGAAAAAGGAAATGCTGGTGGTAAAAGTACTACCATGGCTGTGAGTAAAGATCACAAGGAGAGGACTGGGGCGTCACAGTGTGGGCACCCGTGTGTGAAAGACGCATGCGCAATGCTCCACTGTGCCTATTCGCGTATGGGGTTTTGCTCACTC